ACTTTAAGGTATTCAATCAAATACTCTTGAACCCGGGGCCTCTTCAGAGCCAGTGTTTTTTTGTTCTACTGAATTGCATGTTTGCTAGAAACAGAAACAGTGTTTCTTCCCTTGGCTTGGTGCCCTGTGTACGTTGAACCCTTCACCCTTATTAGTTTAAAGTGAATATAGCTTTAAAATCATGTGATAACATATACATTTCTCCCTGTAAACATCCAGGTAATTCATAATTCCCAAGGTATGCGAAAGGCTATATTCTGAAATTGTTGCTGTCCTCTCTGCTGTTCTTGTTCTCCTAACTCCTGATGCAAAGATGTATTTGTCAAGCTGAACCTGGGAGATCATAATCTCCCTGAGCTTAGCAGCCATAATTTATTTACATTGGACTGTCAAGACCAGCAAAAGAGTAACAGATTTTTTTTAAAGTTACACTCCATATTTTTGCTTCTGTATGTTCTATTAGGTAATAGAGCAAGAGATTTCAAAGTATAAAATTTAGATTGGCCATGGAAGTAATTCCACAAAGACCTAGTAGTTTGTAAAACATAAGGAAAAAGCTTTCATGTTAAATTGAATTTATGTTTATTTGTTCTAGAAATGGAACAAAAAACTACAAAAAGTGTAACATATTTCTTAACAAATAAGCCAAAGAGAAATGTGTGGTGTAAAAGGACCCTTGAGTATGTAATAGGCAGTATTTTGTTCTTAGTACTTTCATAAAACTGTTTAAGTTTTATGTTTATCCTTAAGATAAAATGTTACTGTTTATCCTTAAGATAAAATGCTCATATATTGATAAACCATTGTGCATAAAATATTGTGTTTTGAGTTGAAGTGTCATGGTCAAGATATGTGATCATTTGATGATCTAACTTAATATGAAAATAGAATATAGTTAACTTATTAAACTTAATTGATAAGACATCTAGTTATTATTTAGCAAGAATCAGATTAATCAAGGACGAAGTGGAAGACAAAGATTAGAGATGATGAGAATTAGAAGGAGCCAAAGTATGAGAGTGCGGAATGCAGTCCTATTAAGCTAACAGGAGCAACGTGTTAAAAGGCCTATGTGAGACATCTGTCATACAGCAGCAAAATAGAAAGTCCAGTGAAAGCGCTATTTTAGGAAAACTTGTTGGATGCTAATGCATAAATTCAGCTGCTTACCAGAAGGCATGGTAATGACTTGGAAAAATGCAGTGACATTTTAAAAGACATTATTGCAATTGTATGTTGAAAAAAAATAATATTAGTGAGTGCAGGCCGCCATTTCTATTCAAGCAGACAGCAATGATTTTATAATTTCCTACTTTGTATTTGTGTGTGAAACAAATGATGCTAACAATTGCCTATCAATTTATATAGATCTTGCGCAAAGCTAGGTAATTTTGGCACATCCTCATCTTTCATAAAATATGAAAGTCAAATTAATGAGTCTGTGTTAGTGATTATAATAAAAATATAATTTATATGCAACTGATCCCCAGACTGTGGAATAAACCAAGCCATAAATTATTTCATGTGAATTTGACAATTTCATGTTGTTGAAAATATGTGTGCATGTGAGGATATTTAAGTTATTTATCTATGGTGTATGCAATTCATATTATAGTAAAATAATTGAAAGCAAATTGTGATAAACACTTAATGATAGATGAATGTGACAATAGTAATGATGTAAATCTAAGTTATATTTATATGCTAATTTATATGCAATAATGTTAAAAATAAGAAACACATTATTGCAGAGTGCTATTAATAACCTGCAAATGAGACTGTTACTCATTATACGAAAGAACACTTAGGTTATTTAGATTTTTGACAGTGATATTTAAGCAGAAGGGAAGAGCAACACCCTCTGTGGCTCCAGTATTAGACAGCTGAGGAGAAGAGAGACAAAGATGAGGATTCGGCACCCAGAAAAGAAAGTGATAGTGTTTATAAGCTCCTTCTAGCTTGTCTTAGTGCTGAATAGCTTTAGAAAAACTTAGGGATGATTAAGTTCATATATTTTGGTATCTGGTGCCCACTAAAGCATAAATACAGTGTCTCTGAGGGTTTAAAGTTACTTTTAAAGGGTATTAATGCAATCCATCATATTCACTTTGGAATTTTCTACTGTAATATCCTGATAATGTGCTGAATCAGCTTTGCTGACTCTAACTTTTATTGTTTATCTTTATTTTGATTCAGAAATTCTAATTTTGTTGACCAAGATGACCAAACTTAAATATGTTTTGACACTGAATTATGTTTTGTATACTTCAGAACAGGAAATGCCAAGAAAAATGTTTCAAAGTTATTTCCCTATTAGTAATGTCTTTATCATCACTTCAAAAATATGCCAGTGAATAAGTAGCATATATTCATTGGTTGGGAAAATAAAATGATTCCTATGTACATAGTAAAATATTTAAATTATATCTGGAAGCTTTACTTCAATCAGTTATAGTCTCTTTCCAATAAAACAAGGAATATTTGCCTTTTAAATACAGCTACAATTGAATACAGCTTATTTCTTTTATTCTAAAACCCAATTTTAGCTCTGAGATAATTCAGACCTGGCTTCTTTAGACTTGGGACAAGTATTTTCCATGTGGTATGTATTCAAGAAACGTGATCATAAGCACAGTATATGTGCTAACAGAGGAAAAAAAATCCATCAAATATATACTGATACAATGTCAACTGTTTATAATATAATATGTCAAATATATTAATCTGTTTCATTAAAGCATGTTTTATTTCTGTAAGCAAAGTTTGAAAGATATGTATATTATTTTTGGTAATGAATTATAACTATACCATTTAGGAAACTTAAAATTATTATGATAGTGTTAGTGGTTAACTAAAATATGCACTTATTGCTTTGATGATTGTGTCAATTTTCTATTAGTCAAAACACTAGATCACAAGAAATACGGAGCTGCTATATAGTATAGTACAAAAGAAACCATTCTAAATTGTTTGACTTAAACATTGCAAGATTAGTTTCAATTACTTAGAAAGACCTAAGTGGATGGAGAAGAAGAGGAAATGGGGCAGGGGGTGAGAGAGAGAGAGAGAGAGAGAGAGAGAGAGAGAGAGAGAGAGAGAGAGAGAGAGAGACAGAGAGACAGAGACAGAGAGAGAGAGAGAGAGAGAGATCAATGGAGATACCAGAAAATCTAATTAGCCTCACGTGGCACATGGTAGACTCTGCATATAATGTTGGAAAATACTCTCTAACTTCCAGTGAAAGAAAAATTTGTATGGTACAATTTTATAATGTCAGTATGTTACGTAAGTATACAAACTTCAAAAAATATGAAAGATAAGATGACACAACAATGAATATAGTAATAGAAACATATGAATACAAGATTAAAAGTAAGAGCTCAGTTAGATCAGAAAATAATATGGCATAGTAGATAAAGGTAGGATAAATGTGTTATTATAAATGAAAGCACAGAACCACACCATGGAGGAAATGACTGAGACTACGTCATGTGTTGATGAGGAAGAAGAAGGTGAATATGCAATTCAAAAAGGTTAAACCACAGCAACAGCAACAACAAAATAAACACTTTATGGGTAAATATAGATGCACTTTTTCAATATAATATGAGCTACTCCAGTCAACCTTGTAATGAAATGGTCTATTACCAAGTAAATATATTACTTGTAATGCAATTACTTCAATATTATATAATCACTAACTATACCACAATAATTTTGTTATCATTAAACATTTCATTATTTAACCATTCTATGTTTTTCTGTCTAAATTGAGGAGAGATAAGAAAGATAAATACTTTATAGGATTGTTCTAGGATTAATTTATTATCTGGAATAAGCGACCTGCATGTATATTATTAGTTTATCTGGAAGAACAATTAGAACATAAAAATCTTCCAAGAGGTACAACACATGATTCATATTCAAACAAGTCTTTTGGAATAAAAATGAGACTTGGATGAAAACTGCAGATATTCCTCGTTTAAAAACCTTCTGACCATTGCTCAGGCTTACAATCGAGGTGCACTTATTGATGTAGGGCTACTCAGACTTACACCTCATGATTATTAGGTACAGGTCTGTACATCTTGTTATGAGCCTCAGTGTCTTTTTTGTACAGTGCACCTTGTTTCTAGAGTGCTGTAATTTTTGTTGATTGTACTATACAGTGCTGTACTTTAATGTTTCATTATATTTGTATATATACATGCAGGAGTTTTTGCAAATAAAAGCAAAGTTATCAAGTTAGAGTTTGTTCTGAATATTGTAATGTGTATGTAATATTCAGTTCCCCATTTAGCAACCAATTCAGATAACAAACCACTTGCAGGGCCGGAACTCAGTCAATGAGGAGTATCTATAATCTGAAAAAAAAAAAAGTGGTACTAAGTGATAATACTGGACAAAACAGGATCAAACTATGACCAAGTCAGTTAGTGCATGATTGCATGCTATAAGTTTCCTGTTGTTGCTGTAGCAAATAACTACATAATATGTGGCTTAAAACTGCAAAAATATATTCTCTTACAGCTCTAGGGGACAGAATTAAAAATAAGACCATGAAATCAAGACAGAATTGTTTCCTTCTGAGGGTGCTAGGGGAAAAATCTACCTCACAAGGCTGCTTGGACTCCTTGACTTGTGGACCTTGATTCAGTCCTCAAAAGCAGATTAGCACTTCCCTTACATGCACTTCTGTCCTATATAAAATCTTTTCTTCATCTTTTTTATAAGTGATTGAATTCAGAACTCAATCAGAGAAGAATCACTGCATCTCAAAGTCCTTCACTGCCCCCAGAAAGTCCTTTTTACAGCATAAGGTGACATTCAAAGCTTCTCAGAACTGGGACCTGGGTATCTTTAGGTCATATCATAAAAGTATGATAGGTAAAAAAAGATGAACACTGGACTATTCTGCAAGAGCTTACTTAACAGTGTTTTGTCAAGGAGAAACAGAAGGGGAGAGAAAGACACAAAATAAAATTTTACTGTATTTTTAGGTGTTTTAAATGTATATCTACGTTTGAAAGGACAAACAACAATAGAGAATCCACTGTGGTCTTCAAGTGGGAATAAAGGACAACGATGGAATGAGGCTCATGTGAATATTTATCCCATTACTTCATTTCAGGTAAGAAACAAAGTCACTACTGATCATAGATTGCTGCGTGTAAGCATGGCACCACAGGTGAATCTCAAGCAAGTAGCAAAGTTCAAATATTCAGAAATACTGTGATATGAACATCACAAAAATCACTTGCTTAACTTCCTGTATAGTTCTAAAGTCTTATAAAGAGAAATACCTATTTCATTCTTATTCAATACCTACCAAGAAATATTTTTACATAATATCACCTCAAAGTTCAATTAAGTTTTATGCAAAAACTATACCCCAGTTATATAAAATTTTAGCTCCTGAAAAATTATATGAATTTTTATAATAGTGGAACTGGGTAATCAATTCTCAATTTATCTGTTTAAATTTTATTTGATGGAATTAAATATACTGTACCTTTAATAAAATATATATCTTTGCGCTAATGCCATTTTGTTTACTTACTACTTTGATCAAAAAAAATCTCTAAATAAGCAATTTTATTTTATATAGAAAATTAAATCTCAATTTTTGTATGAGAGTTAATTGTAAACATATCATAGAATTTTTTATAAACACTGTCCCTCAGAGCTAAAGACAGTAGACTACAAGGCTATTTCAGTGGAGGTGATAATATAATTTTAGTGATTTCAATAATTAGATAAGCATGCTTACTTATATGTATGTATAAATATTCATGTATACCTAAACACTATTAATATCTCTAAAATATAGTGAACTATCTATATGATTTAAATATATATGCATGCATTATATAGCTGTATTCTCTATTTTGTAGTATTCAGTTTCATTTTATGACATTAGTATTATAGAACTGAATAATTCTTCTACTAGTGATTCATTGGAGGCCCATCATGGCATGAGTTATAAGTAGGTAGAAAATCAGTGACTTCTCCAACTATGCCACTTTTTAGTAGAAAGATTGCTCTTTCTTGTGATATAACCCATAAAATTTTAATTGCTCTGGAGATTGAGCTTCTAAATCTAACTAAGATAATAAAATGTAAACATGTCTTCACAGTAGTACACAAGGAAATAAGATTAAACGATTATCTACAAAAACATAATATAAGTCTTAAGACTCTAGGAAAACAGTCATTTTGTTTCAATGAAGGACAGTACCACGGGAGATTGAATCTGTGATGATATATTGTTAAATTAAGTTAAACTGAGAAGACACAACTGCACATTATTACAGATAAATGGATCCTTGATATTAAAATCTGTATATGTATGTAGGCATCAAAGAACATGTCTTTTTAAAATGCTGTTATTTTGTTAAAAATTTTGCATTCTTATGGAAGTCTCTCCAAAACAAAAATTTTAAAACAATTACACACCAGGAAATATTTAAGAAAGCAATATTGATGGTTCCTTTCAGATAATCCTTGATTGATGTTTGAGTCATTTAAGCAAATGTCTATTGAGAATATTTAGGTCAATCATTTGTCCCAACAGACAAAAGTTTAAAAATAGTCTTTGAGCTCCTATTGTATGCCACGCATGTTAAAAGACACCAAATTTAAAAATGATCGTTTACCAAGATTGGTAGAAAAATACATCAAAAAGCCTAAGCCCCATACTGTGGTTATTGTAGTAATAGAGATGTGGGTGTTTCTGTCAACACATCTAATGAATAAAAAGAACAGTGAGGAGAGGCCCAAAAAGATTATTGTAAATGGTGAAACTGAGGAAAGAAATTGCAAAGCTGAGAAAAGTTTGACATTAATATTCCTAGGAAGGACATCAAAGATTAGAAACCATAGAAGCGACCAGAAAAACAGAAAGGTGTTTATTTAGAGTTGCTACAAAAAAATAAACCAAAGACGGGTGAGAGAGGTAGTTAAGAGGCCAAGTAGTTTGGGCAGCATAGAGTCGTCAAAACGTTTTACTCAGGGAATGACATGGCACACATGTCACTGTTTGTTACAGGACACTGTGGTTCAAATTGGAGAATAAGGTGGGAAGATTCTGTTAAGACAGCTTTGTAAAATCCTTATAAAAGATGAAAGGATGACCAATTGTCAAGATAGTTACAAAAAGCACAACAACATTTTTTTTTGCATTAGAAATTTTGGAGGTGCACATGAATGTCTCAGAATTTTCGCACTAGAGGGTAGTGCTTATGTTACACACCTTAAATAACACAAGAGGTAATGAGCTGAGATTCAGCGATGAATATGGTCACCTTTATTTTAGACTTTATTATAAAATGTCTTGAAAATATTTGAAAGACATGCAAGAAGTTATTGTATATATTGCCTTGAAGTTTTGTGGACAAATACATTTGTGAGTCATCAGATTTGTATGTTACTTAAAACTGTAAAAAATGATTGATATTAGCAGGGTATGGGGGCACATGCCTAATATCCCAGCCTACTGGTGACTGCAACAGGAAGATTTCAAGCTCCAGACCATCCTGGGACAACTTACCAATGTAGGGACACTCCATCTCAAAATAGCAATAAAATAGAACTGGGAATATAGTGTTTAGAAGGCCCTGGGTTCAATTCGACATGCTCATGGTGTCTGGAGGCAGGAAAGAAATCATGTCACCCATCAGTGAAAATGTTCTCTTTGAAATGGGAAATCCTCTTCTTGACATTTGTGCTGTAGTGGACAAACATTTCCTTGATAAAATATTAAGGTAGAAGTTTGACTGACTCGGAGGGGAGGCAGCGCAAAGTAATACAGTGCAGGCCACAGCAACTTGACTCAACCAGAGGGGAGGGGCCAGCATATGCTGCCCCTGTCTGCAACTCACTAGCACAATGCAGTGGGAAGGGTCATCTAGCCAGCGCACTTCAGAAGAATTGTAACCAACAAAGAAAAAACTGGGGCCTCCTATAAGAAGCAAAAAAGATGGGAAGGGGAAGCAACAACAAAAAGTCCCCAGGTCCCAACCATGAGAACATTGACCCAGGACAGGTAAATACAATGGAGAATGAGAACAGCAAGTGTGCAATATCAGACACAACGCCAGTGGACATAAAGATATATATGGGACTTCATAGACAAGTTCAAAAGTGAAATATTTAGCCAAGTAAAACAAGATTAATAAAAGAGATTCTAAGCACCCTTCAAGAAGTCACAGACAGAAGAAGGAAGGACCTCAAACAAAGGAGAGAATCATTTGATAAAGAATATAAAAAAATATAGAAAACATAAAGCAGATTCAAAGAGATTACCAGGAAATTTAAAACTCTATGGAAAGATGGCAAATCAGGTTGAAAGAAACTAAGGATAGATTATCTAAACTGGAGGACAGTTTTGTAATGTGGGATTATGAAAGGGAAAACTTTTTAAAAATAACAAGGAAACAAGCAGTAACAATACAAAGGCTAGAAGATGACAAAATGATCTATAACTTGAGAATAAAGATTGTGAACGAAGAAGCAGGGGTACAAACAAAGGAACTACAAAGTTTATTCACAGAAATAATTAAGGAAAACTTCTCAAACATAGGAAAAGGAAATGATATTCGAACATATGAGGCACACAGAACTCCAGCAACCAACAACCAAAACAGTGCTACATCCAGGTATATAATAATCAAGATTCCAGAAATTCAATATAAGAACAGAATATTAAAAGCTGTTAGAGACAAGAAACAGATAACTTATAAAGGATGGCCCACTAGAGTAATGGCAGACATCTTGACACAAACCATCAAGTCATGAAGAGCCTGGCGTGAAATATTCCAAGCCCTGAAAGAAAATAACCTCCATCCCAGATTGATATACCCTGATAAACTGTCTCTAGAAATTAATGGAGAAACGAGATGCTTCCAAGACAAAGAGGAACTTAAGGAATCCGCAACCATAAATCCAAGAATACAGAGAATACTGCAGGGCATTCTAGAGAGAGAGAAAAGTACTAGGGTTCCAGGAACAGTGGCAGAGAGGCCTCAATGAATGGAGCAGAAAACAGAATGAAGAAGATAAGCAGACAACTGATGGCAAAAAAGAGCATAACAGAAATGAGGCAGAGAAGATTTTACTCAAAACTGATATGATTGATAGTATCAAGTCTGAGAGTATAGGTAACTACACTGAAGATGACAAGACTATATGATATACATTCTGGTTTGATAACTGCTTGTTTTTGAAGTTCTATACTATATACAAAGGTATGTTTTTATTAATACTGTTATGTACTGATATATTCCATTATACTATGTCTGATGATATAGGCAATTCTATTGGAGATAACAAGAGACAACACAGGAACCATGGTAGAACTCTTTGTACAATGGTCTTATATGTTTTTTTTTTCATGTGTTTATAGGAATATGTTTTTTGTCTTTCTTTTTTTCGTTTCTCTCTCTAACATAAAAAGGATAGAAATACATGTTAAGACTCATACATGTGGGGGCTGGGGATTTAGTTCAGCAGCATAAGCACCTGACTTGCAAGCAGGCAGTTGTGAGTTTGATCCCTGGTACTGATAAAAAAGAAAAAGACAAAAAAAAAAAAAAAGACTCATACATGTGTAGAATCTATAAACAGTTAATGAGAATTGATCTTATGACACATGATGAAATGTAGATACTCCGAAGAAAAAGAGACACTAAATACCCAGTGCTGATCCTGGAGTGTCATAATGTGAAACCCAGCAATAGTGTTATTCTTTGTTCCAGTGATATTAGCCTGCTGGGGTTTATTCAGTCTCAACATAATTGAAGATGTGGATAACCGCATTTATGTTTAAGTGTATAAAATTGATAACCATATTTCTAAGTTTTTGTTGGACAGTTGAACAGAACTGGTTGCAATCTCAATGTTGGAATCCCCACTTTATATACTCCACTTTAGTATCTTGCATAACTATTTGTAAGAAGACAATCTGTAATCATCAACTCGTGATTTCTTATTGTTTATTTTCTTTGAAATTATATATTATTTCTACCCATTTTCTGTTTCGTTTAGTCTTTCTTTAAATTAAATAAAATAAAAGACACTACAGTACCCAGTGCTGATCATAGAGTGTCATGATGTGAAATCCAGCAATACTAT